TACACATATATAAGAATTAATTATATGTATATTACATATTATGTGTAAAATATTATATTTAGAGTTACCTTTTCCTTTTGGTTGAACGCAAACTTCTTTACATTCTTCCTGTGTTTTGAATCGATTTTCGTTACCCTCGCAACCTCCATACCAAAATCTTGAACAACCACCGTAGTCGGTATCATAAAACCACTTGACCGTAAAATCTCGACAAGAGCCTCTGTCTTTTTTCAAACCACATGCGACACCAGGCATCGAAGGTATTGTGATACAACCTTCAAAGTTCTCTCCTTGAGCTTCCTCAATTCCGTCAGGACAACATCCATATTGCGATGCGTCGCAGGTACAGCCCGCAAAATTTGGTCCTTTAGCAGGTGTTCTACCATCTGAACAACATTTATATTTCGTATTCTCGCATCCACAACCTGTAAATGTTATACAATGCGTTAAACGAAATACGTACAAAATGTGTGTAATTTTCTACTCCTCTTATGCTTGAATTACTCTCAACATTTGAATTGTATATTATATATTGTATATACCATATTTGTATGTTGATCATGGAGTTACCTTGACCATGAGAGCCCTTAGCGATAGTAATACCGTCGGGACAACATCCAAATTGATAAGTGTAACACGGGCATCCCTCGAAATTGCGTCCGCTGGCGGGAGTAAATCGATTCGGGCAACAACCATAAGGCGTGTATAGACAACCACAACCCTCGTTGTTTAGTCCACGCGCTACCGTCGAATTATCCGGGCAACAACCGAATCTCGTGTATTGACAGCCACAGCCGTAGAAGTTTAGCCCACGGGCTGGCAGACTGTTATCCGGACAGCACTTGTATGGTGTCGATAAGCAGCAACCTTCATTGTTCGGTCCATGTGCTGGCGTTATTCCATCTTCGCAGCATCCGTAAATACTGTCATGACATGGCATGCGACAACCATAGTTGTCCGATCCGAGAGCTGTGGAAACAATCACAGACGATGGAGGTATATACACTGAGATTAGTTTAGAATGATTAACCAATTTGTTTCGATTATCTATTTGATCAATTAATAACACACAATGATGGAACCATCAATAATATACACACATACACACATACACACACACACACACACACACACGCGCGCGCGCGCGCGCGCGCACGTACGCACGTACGCACGTACGCACACATAAAAACATTATAAAATATTATTTCACAGTTAATGATATTATATTCCAATATATTAACAGGTAATGTTAACATCTTTTCCGATTCAACAAATCTATGAATAATTCTTACAATTTGTGTTAATTAATTTATTATTACATATTATGTAACTAACCCGCGGAAACTCCATCAGAACAACATCCAAAGTAGGACGCGCTGCAATTTTCGATATTAATGACACCGCAACCCTCAAAATTGATACCAGTTGCAATGGTAATACCATCAGGACAGCAACCATAAGTAGTATTTGCACAATCTTCGAGTGAAACAGCTTGTGTTGTTATTTCATATATCTCCGTTTCAGAAGTGATTTCTTCCTCACAACCTTACCACATAACGTATACTCATTATTTAAAACATTCGAAAATGTGCATAATATATTATTATACACACACACATATATATATATATATATATATAT